TGTCAAACAACCAATTACAGTTCGTTTCGTTCAGCGTCACGTTTCGGGGCGTGGAAATGTCCCCACAACAACAGACCGGCGTGCAACAAGTCAGTCAGCATAGAAAATCAAAGAAGGAGAAGAAAACTTCAAGAGTCTATGCCGTGAACCTCGCATACTTTTGAAAATCCTACGTTTAGCTGATCTTGATAAATGCTCATTGTCACTCATGTAAACACAACAGTTTTTCTTTCGCAATCACACGTTTGCTCGACACTCGCGCCCCCCGGAAATCCGATAAAATTCAACCAATCAGATGACGACTTCGACATTCCTGAAGTGTTTCCAGTTAAGAGTACCATATGCATCAGACATTTAGCCAACGTTCCGTGGGCGTGACGTCTGAGGCTGAGACTACTCTTCAGGCCACAGTAACCAAACTTAAAGGCCAAGTCGACGACTTGAAAGAAAAGTGTGAAGATATGGAAGGGCGGATGCGGAGAGGGAATATTTGCATCACGGGAGTTTCCGAGCAACCTGGTTCGAGTTCACCGGCTGCCGTATCCAAACTTCTGAAAAAGATCCTGGAAATGGACAGAGATGTAAAGATTGACCGTTCGGATCGCAGTCTCGTCCCAAGGAAACCTCGCACCATCATTGCAAAGTTACATTATGATGGAGATTGCATGGAGATCTTCCGAAAAGCCAGAGAACGTTTTATGAACGTTCTAATGGCTAAGCTATCCGCACAGTTAGAGGTCTACTATTATTTACAATGCTGTTGTAATAATACTTTTGACTGAGATTTATTGGTTCTGTAGGAGCCTGTGTGATGGTATATTCATGGCCCCTTTGTTAATTTCTTGATTTTATGCACAGGTAATTGCTGGCACATAAAGAAGTTTAATTATTTCATACTGAGATATGTTTGGTTTGTGGCTGCAGACAAGGATGTCCATTGTCGCCCCTGCTGTTTGCTATCAGCATCGAACCCCTTGCTCAACTCATTCCGGAAGAATTAAGGGAATTAAGGCAATTAAGGGAATTGTAATTGGAGGAGAGGAACATAAGTTGTCGTTATACGCCGATGATGTCCAACTTTTCCTAACAGAACCTGAGACAACAATTCCATATTTAAAGAAGCTAATTCTCAAGTATGGGTACTACTCTGGATATAAAGTGAATATGGATAAAACTGAGGCCATAGATGTTAATGGTCAAATTCCGAAATAAATCCAAATTAAAAGTAGGTTCAAATGGCCCAAGAATGGGTTTAAATACACTGTAGTTGCAGCCGTCGTGTGTGCTGATGCGCCAAGTACACTGCAGTCGTTAACGCCGGACAGAAGGGGAGTCTCACAACCATATGGAAAGAAGCGTACATGGGTGAAGCATAGTTTACTGTAAAGCTACGTCTTAGTGTTGCTTATCTTGGCGAAAGCCGAGTACAAATCAGCATGAAGTTTTAACATCTACTCTCGTGTAATGGAAATCTTATTCCCTACTCTTTGGACCAGTTATACGACACAAACTATAAAAAAGTGATTAAAAATATTGAAGATTTAAATCGTTGGACAGCTCTTCCTCTCTCTCTGATTGGCCGTGTTGAATCTATTCGTATGAATGTCCTGCCGAGATTACTCTATTTGTTTCAGATGTTACCTATAGAAGTGCCAAAATCTATATTTGATTTGCTGAATAAAATAATTTCTAAATTTGTTTGGCAAGGAAAACAGCCAAGAATAAGGCTTAAAATAATACAATAGCCTAAAACAAATGGTTGGCAAGGACTCCCAAACTTTAGGTTTTACTTTTAGGCAGCTCAATTGAGGCCCCTGGTTTCATGGATGAGAGAAGACGCACAAACCCAGTGGATCAATATTGAAAAGAGCCTCTGTTCCATGCCCCTTAAAAAAGTACCCTTTTCCAGTGTACCATTAAAAAATGCCTCCATGGGTGAATCGACCAAAGTTACTTTAAAAAGTTGGAGAACTATACAAAGATAATTTGGTTTGTCTAAGAAAATCTCATCTGCAGCAAGCATTGGCTATCTTAATGACTTTGCACCATCTCGTACAGATGTGGGTTTCAAAAAGTGGTCACAATATGGACTTGATTATCTGCACCAATTATTTCATAATGACACACTTAAATAATTTGAACAAATAAGAAATTTACACTCCAAAGGTCTGATTTTTTTTTTTAGATATTTACAACTGAGACATTTCCTCACAACCCATAAGGAACTAGAATTTTTTTTTTTAAACTCCCCTAAAGAAGGTTATTTTAAAGAAATACAAATTGGACATGCGGTTAAAAAAAACTATTTTTAAAGGATATCTGTTATTTTTGTCTAAGAATTCAAAGAACATATTACAGATCAAGGAAAAATGGGAGGCCGAAATGAATGAAACAGTTCCTCTTGAAACTTGGGAGGAAGCTTGTGGAGAGGTACATCTTGTGACCAACTCTAATATCTGGAGGGAATTCAAATGGAAGATAATAATAACCAGATTTTTTCGAACTCCACAGATAATTGCAAAATGGAATCCATCCTGCTCAGACAAGTGCTAGAGAAATTGTGGCCAGCATGTTGGTAACCACACCCATATTTTGTGGTCATGTCCAAAATTAAGAAATTACTGGAAAGATATATTTGATGCTCTTAAAGAAATCATCAATTATGAAATCCCTGAAGACCCCATAATAGCCCTTCTACGTGTGCGTCAGAGGGCCTTGAGGGTAGAGCTAAAATATATTTACTACAAATTTTACTCGCTGCAGCCATGAAGTGTATTACATGCAGATGGTTAAAACCTGCCCCTCCATCATACAACGTTTGGATTCAAAAAGTATGGGAGTTGTACGAAATGGAACAAATCACATTTGCATTACGACTTCAGAGAGAGGTGGGCTCCTGTAATGCCATTAATACTCCAGTGAACATGAGTTATACTATCATATCCACCTTGTGTTCATCTCTGCCTTTCTCCATTATTTTTTTATTTAAATTTTTTTTCTTCCTCTCCCCTTCCTCCCCCTGTACTAGGTGTATTTGTTTTCATTCTCTGTATAATGTGTACGGTATAATTAAGTTTGAACAATTGTCAATATTGTGGGAACATGTTAAAACCCAATGCCATACTGTGCTGTTTGTATGCTGTGGTTCTAAATAAAAATATAGTATATATTCTAAGTAAAAGGGTTCTAAGTAAAAAAATAACAATAAAATCATAAATAAGCCACAGAAGTTTTGGGATTCTGTTCTGTGGAGCGATGAAACAAAACTGGAACTTTTCAGCCCTCTGGATCAGCGGTATGTCTGGAGGAAGAAGAATGAAGCATTTCCTGAAAAGAACACTCTGTCTACAGTTAAGCACGGTGGTGCTTGGTGATGCTCTGGGGCTGCTTTGGATCCTCTGGCACTGGAAACATGCAGTGTGTGGAAGGCAAGATGAATTCATTCAAGTATCAGGAAATCCTAGAAGAAAACGTCATGCCGTCAGTGATGAAGCTGAAGCCTGGGCGTCATTGGACCTTCCAACAGGACAATGATGCCAAGCATACCTCAATTTCCACCAACAAGCTTGGTTGCAGAAGTAGTTCAAGAAGATTCTACAGTGGCCATTACAGTCACCTGACTTGAACCCCAAAGAAAATCTCTGGTGGGATTTGAAGGTGGTTGCAGCACGCAAACCCAAGAATATCACTGAACTGCAGGCCAATGCTCATAAAGGATTGGCTAATATTCCTCAGAAACGCTGCCAGAAGCTGGTGTCTGGTAGCCTCGTGAGACCATCCTGATCTCGCGAGCTTTCAAGGTTTCACTCGCAGATCAGTCTGGATACTTTCCGTTAAAGAAAATTTGGGAGCAGTTCACCAAACGAACGTCCAATCAGCGTTGGCTTTGAGGCGGGTTGAGGTGTGACGCAACGAGAAGCGCGTCAGTTCAGTCTAAAGAACATGTCGGCTTCAGCGGATGAAACTAGCATCAGCGTGGCTATCGAGCAAGTTTTATCGGAATTACAGAGTATTTCTTCACTGAAAGAAGAGCAAAACACTGCTCTGGAGGCTTTTCTCAGAGGAAAAGATACGCTCTGTTAGTACGTCATATGCTTCGTTGATCTGATTGGTTGATTTGGCCTTTCTATCACCAACATAGGCCAATCAGCTAACCAGTATTTTCGCCCCTTACCAAAACTACTTCAACGGAAGGTTTCCAGATGGATATGCGGAGCAAATCCATCTGGCGGAGTCAGGTTAGGTGTCTGGTTATACATCTCATTTGCAGGAGGTCATGACAGCAAAAGGGTGTTCTACTAAGCACTGAAGATGGTTGCCATGAAGGGGTTGAATAATTTTGAGACTGCAGAAGTCATTAAAAGTTGCAATTTCAGTTAAATTTGGGGAAACAACTTGAAAAATTTGTTGTGTTGAGATATTTCAACTATTTCATACATCATACAGCAGGGTACACCGTGAACTCCAAAAAAAAACGCTACGCACTACTACAAATGATGGCCGTGAATAAAATATAATATTCAGAAATAAACAGTAATGTTTAGGTGACAGAGTGTTTATGTCAGAATGTTTATTTTTAAACCACAACCCTCTAATGTCAGAATATTTATTTTTAAACCACAACCTTCTAAGTGCTTCTTTTACCGATATATTTACCGATATCTTTTGCATTTCTAATCCAAACAACATCAAACTTGGCACTGCACTTACTCGTGCCCGTAGCAAGACACATGGCAAGTTTGAAATCCATCAGACTAACGGTTCGTGAGATATGCAAATAACAGTCACACAGACAGACAGACAGAAGTTCCTGTAATTTATAGATAGATATATAAGTAGTGGCAGTATTAAATGCAGTTTAAACTGGAATTGCAATAGGATTTTTTTTTTGTTATTTTGTAAAAAGCTATTCTATCGCAAATAAATGTAACGGGAAGATTTGGAAGTTACTCTCATATTCAGGTGCTGGTTATTGTAAGACCCACCATGGACTAACTAACCTCCCATACTGTGGGCTACCCAGACCACAGGCCTGTCCCCTACACCTGCATCCTTCAACTTCCTCAGCAGTTCCTGACTCCTGTAGGCCAAGGACTTCCTGTATAGCACAAAAGGTATAAAAAAAAAACCCCACTAAAAAAACCTAAACAAACATTGACATCATGTATGGTACATTGAGTTAATCAGATAATTTATTGATGTAGATCATTGAATATTCACACCATGACTGTTTACCTTTGGTTTTCAGCAGGACACTTAGCCTTCCAGTCACTTAAATGGGTGTCATACTCCACAGACAGGATCCTGAGGTTTGGACAGTCTTCAGCCAACCAAGACTGTGTAAAATACAAAATAAGATTTGAATTCCTGACTTTGGACTTTGGTCTGACTTTCAAAATACCTCTGAAGCTCTGTAATCACCTTCATTTATAAAGCGCTTTTAACAGTATGCCATTATACCGCAAATAGTATTTTGGTAACTGAGATTTTACCCATATGTTTCTTCAAGAAAATATCTGACCTTGGGCCAGCATTCAGTGTAGTCCTCTCGGACCCCTTCCACCTTGTCATCATCCGTCACGTCACGGTCCTTTTGACGCCATGTTTTAAAAGCTGCTCCCAAGAGGCCATGCACGAAGAGAACATCAGCTTTGATTGGCTGGCTGAATAAATAGGATGGAAAACATATATATTAGTGAAAAAAAAAAACATCTACACTACCCTTCAAAAGTTTGGAGACAATCAGATTTTTTAAAAAGAAATTATAACTTTTATTCAGCAAGTATGCATTCAATTAATCGTGTGACAGTAAAGACTTTTAGAATGATACAGGAGATTTCTATTTCAAATGAATGCTGTTCTTTTGAACTGTCCACTATTTTCAACATTGATAATAATAAGAAATGTTTCTTGAGCACTAAATCAGCACAATAGAATGATTTCTGAGGAATCATGTGACACTGAAGACTGGAGTAATGATGCTGAAAATTCAGCTCGGCCATCACAGGAATAAATTACATTTTAAAATATATTAAAACAGAGAATAGTTATTTAAATTGTATTAATTGTACTATTTTTATTGTATTATTGATCAAATAAATGCTGCCTTGGTGAGCATAAGGCAGTCCAAATAAGCTAGCATGCTTACTTTGTGCGGCATTGTGGGTGCAAAATGTAAACACCATCCTGGTACTTCTGCCTTACTGCATCTCTGTCCAAATTGGCTAAAGCGCGGGCAGCATAAGATGCCTGCATGATGTGTGGTGACTGGATCATCTTAGCCAGGACAGACATCCAACCTTAAGGACAACCAAAAAAATAAAATAAAATAAAATAAATACTCTATTCAACATTAAATCTAACTCATAAATCAGTAATACTAAAATACAAGGCTAACCTGACTGCACTATGGCTGTGTGCGCACTCTCATTCAGGGCGAGATTTCCAATAATTCGCACAATGTTGCACTGAATTTTTGGAGAGTCTCTGCGAAGCTGGTAGACTCTTTGCAAGAGCTGCAGTCCTCCATTAGCAACAATGTGGTCACAATGACTGCGGACCTGTGAACAAAGAACAACCCAATTGGAAATTTGAATTTATGTTTATTAAAACAAACAATGATTTGCTCAAGTCAAATTGGGCTTAAAGGGGTCCTATTATGCCCTTTTACGAAGTCTTGACTTTGTTTTTGGGGTGTACTAGAATATATTTTCATGCTTGATTGTTCAAAAAACACTTTTTTTTTTTTTTTACATTATTACAGCTCCTCTCTCCCCAGTCTGGCCCTGAACCCGCTGATTTCGATGAAGCCCCTCGCGTGTTCGGGAAATGTCCCAACCCTCCATAACTGCGAGTTCTTCTCTAGTGTAAAAACTGAGGATGGCGTCAATTTCAAACAAATTCGAGCCCGATTCAGACCCTGACAATGTTAACGAACAATGTGTCTCTTTGACAACGAAAACACTAGCTGTGTCCCAAATGCTATGCACTTATACACTATGTAATTATGCACTATGTACTCAACCGTGTAGTGTATGAACTTTATAAGTTTATTTTGTCTTTCAACATCGGAGTCTGATAGCCTCTCCCCCTCCGCTACGTAATTAAAGCTGCGGCAGTTGAGTGCAAGAAGTGTCCAACGTTCCACACTTCGTTTTTTCGGTTAAAGCTCCAGTCCGTAACTTTTTTAAGTTAAAAATAATCCAAAATAATTATATTAAAAAAAACTTATTCTGCCAGTGGTCAAAACTATCTGCTTGCCATAGCTAGATTCAAAACGGTTAGCTTGTAATAATGATTTTAATTCCAGTGGTACTGGTGGGTTTCCGCGGGAAATTTGAGCATGTCTTTGCGTCATGACGTCACACCCGTACACATAAAGAAGGAGTTTCGGCTCCTTCGGCTATACTGCGCGTGACGAGATGTTTAGATGTATAGGCTTTTCTCGCAGCACTTTACATAATTAAACTTATGGCATCCAGAAAGATCAAAACAACAATCATCAGTGTCAACTGGAGATTCAGCAGTTATAAAACCCAAAAGACTTCGTACTTCGGATTTAAGGTGGCTAGAGAAAGAGAAAGAAACCGTCTCATGCGAACACAAGGATTAAACATCGGCGGGGCTTTTGAAAAGTGCGTGAACTCCGTGTTTTGAAGGGGTTCAAAACGGAAAAAGAGACGGCTTTTTTCTGCTGAACAAGTAAGACATTTCAATAGTTCAATCGTGTAACAGTACGTTTTCTTAATTCACACAGTTATGGAGTTTCCTTTGTTGTGCCTTTCTCGTTTTGCTATTATGGAGAATATGAATTCTGAACTACACAGGTAACCATAAAACACATTAAGTTTAACATTAGTCACGCTATGCTGATGTGATGTTGTTAACATGAATTTGAGAACAAAGTAGGCTATAATTTGCACGGTTGCTGTAAATCGCGTTGATTAAATCTAACGAAGCTTATCATGTCGAATGCCTTTTCCCCCTTAGTTGGTCAGAACAAAAATGGATGTTACTTACTTGTTCAGAAGACATTTTCTTATGAAAATTCTTATGTTGGTCAAACTTTCAAAAAGTGAATCTGTGATTCTGTATGACAGTATCCACACAGCGCGGTGACTGACAGCAGCACTCGCCTCAAAGCACTGTGTTCATCCGCGCTGTTTCATGCCGATTTACAACCCACGCAAAGATAATAATTCCGCGAATCACTGCAGTTACAGATTTCGAACAGACAGATGGCAACAAAGAGGAAAAGTTACGGACTGGAGCTTTAAATAAGTGCATCATCCGGGTACTTAAAGTCCCCTCTTTTTTTAAATTTTCAGTGTGAACGCACTACTCGCACTATTTATACTACAAAATGGCATAGAATAGTGCACAAGTACGCGATTTGGGATGCACCTACTGTCTTCTCTAATGCAGCTCAGCCAGGCCGTGCCGACCTTTTTTGCATATTCCGTGGGTGGGAATTATTTAAATGAGTACCATTGTGACTTCATAAGATCCGGAAAAAACACGGTGTAGTCCAAATGAGCCGTTCGTTATAGTTCTTGAAAAAAGTGGATTCTGTTAAATAAAATATCTCCCTGTGGAGTAGACTTTGAGCTTTGTATTTTTTATGCTCAAACAGCAACATTACACACTAATTAAAGTTGAAAAAGTGGAAAAGCATTATAGGAACATTTAAACTTAATTAAACTGAAGGTACACATCCAGAATATCTACAAAAGATCACTCATAATACACAAGCATCCTGTTTTCTTTGATTATCGGCTACTTCCTTGTTGCAAAATACATGTAATTTAGCAGGGTTTGTAAATCTTCACCTTTGAGTGCTGGACCAGGGCCTGCAGGCAGAATGTCTCCACCTTCTCAGAGGGGGTAGAAGTGAGACTTTGGGCGTAGGGCAACCCATTTCCACCAAAACACCACAGCCCTCCCTATAACCACAGACCAACATGCACAGCTAATGGATTGTCTCTTTTTTCTGGAAATAAATTCGACCAAATGGAGTGCAACAGTGCTTGCTCACTTTTTCAGCACCCTTGGTTCTGGAAGTGTTTTTCCCATTCATATTTCCCATGGGGATTTAAAAATCAATAAGAATTTTAAGCAATGAACCAAACCTACAGCTATGAAGTGAATCACAACATTACAAACTTTGATTTGAAGTAAAAAAATATTTGAAAATTGAACAAATAGACTAAGGTACAAGACGGTGTTTAGTCAGGGAAAGAACTACAATTCCATGAAACATTGTAAACGACTTAATTGAAAAAAAAAAAAAATGTATTTAAAGATGCTCATTAAACAATATATTTCTATGTTCATTGCAAAATATGCACATTTATACAAATATTTAAGTAGTTTGAGAGTGTAGGGTGATTGACTGTTACATTCACAGTGTTTCATGGGAGTGGCCGGCCGGTTTTGATTTTCTGATTGGTTTATCACCTGGAATTCCATTGTTAAACAATTATGTAAGACATAAGTTGCCATATACAGCAATATCAAAGAACAACCTTGTAGCTCACAAAAGTTTATAAGCTATTGTTAAAAATCAGTTCCCCTACTGAGAAAATGAATGGGATCTTTATTTGCAGATGCTGGCTGTTGCACTCTATAGCTTGAGTGTGTTTATGTCTCACCCGTTGAGAGGCTAGTGATTGGCTGCTCTCTCGAAGTGCCAGGGAAGTAAAGTACTGCACACACTGATCCACCTCCGACTGGGGCAGAGATCCCAGTAACTGTCTAAGTTCCTCTTCTATTGATATATCCTATACATGCACCAAACATTAGCACTAGTAGCTGACATCAAACAGCAGTTCATTTTGTCTTTTGTCTGAATGATAGCTACCCACATCATCAGTGTGTGGCAGTAGAGGAGGAGGGAGAAAGAAGCGCAGGTCCACGTTAGGTATGCGGGCGAGAGCCACAGATGTGCGCTGGTCTACCACCTGTGCTGCAGTCCGGTATTGATAATCTGTGATGGATAAGACAAAAGATCAATCAGAGCTCATAGAATATATAGTGATGTGTTTTTTTCTCTGGTGGGCAAAGGGTTACGCCCCGTAGAAATAGTTTTTTTCTCAGCAAGAACATTAATGGCAATAAATCTTGACATTTTCTAATCATGAGATTGAAGTGCTGCTGTCTCTCACCCTGCCAGTGGTGATTTTGGGCCAGTTCCTGCACAGCCTGCTGTCTCACGGCCCGGTCAGCAGAGAAGGTTCTTTTCAGCAGCATCCATAGCGCACATTCATTAGGATCTGCGTCTAGATGACTGAGACGCTCTAATTTAAAAAACAAAATAAACACATGCTCATTTCACATAACTACAAATACAATGACACGCTAGAAATTATGTTAAAATCATGATTTAATATGAAATTAATGATTTTAGCAAAAGTCAAATGGAAACAGATGCCTTCAGTTAAACATAGAGTACAGTAAAGTTTTCTATAGTCTATCACTCTACTAGTCTACTACTTTGGCACACTTTGCTAAACTGTTTTGTGCTAAACATACACTACCATTCAAAAGTTTAGGGTCAATAATATATTTTGTTGAAAGAATGTTTTGTTTTTGAAAGAAGCCTCCTAAGTATGGAAGCTTGTTTCCGCCACTGAATAAAACAAATTAAAAAAATAATTGCGACTTTTTATCACACAATTGCGAGATAAGAAGTCAGAATTCTGAGAAATAAAGTCGCAATTGCGAGATATAAAGTCGCAATTATGAGAAATAAAGTCGCAATTGCAAGAAAAAAATACATAATTGTGACTTTTTATCTCACAATTCTGACTTTTTTTCTCACAATAATTCTGACTTTATAACATATATTTGCGTGTTTATATCTCGAAATTCTGACATCTTTTCTCAGAATTGTGAGATATAAACTCGCAATTGCGAGTTATCAGGCCAATTCTAAGGGGGGAAAAAAAGACTAACTTTTTTCCCCTCAGAATAGTTTATATCTCACAATTCTGACTTTACAACACGCAATTTCGACTTTATATCACGCAATTCTGACTTTATAACACGCAATTGCGACTTTATATCAATCAATTCTGACTTTATATCTCGCAATTCTGACTTTATAACACGCAATTGCGACTTTATTTCACACAATTCTGACTTTACAACACGCAATTGCGACTTTATATCATGCAATTCTGACTTTATCACCTGCAATTGCGACTTTATATCAATAAATTCTGACTTTATATCTCGCAATTCTGACTTTATAACATGCAATTGCGATTTTATATCACGCAATTCTGACTTTATATCTCGCAATTCTGAGAAATAAAGTCAGAATTGCGAGATGTAAACTCGCAATTGTGAGAAAAAAAGTCAGAATTGTGAGATAAAAAGTCGCAATTACCTTTTTTATTTTTCATTCTGTAGCGGAAAACTTGTTCATTAAGGCTGCATTAATTTGATACAAATCTTATGTATTACTTTTACTACTTAAAATTACTGTTTTCTATTTTAATACATTTTTAAATGCAATTTATTCCTGTGATGGCAAAGCTGTATTTTCAGCCCCATTACTCCAGACTTCAGTGTCACATGATCCTTCAGAAATCATTCTAATGTGCTGATTTGGTGCTAAAGAAACATTTCTTATTATAAACAGAAGTATTATCAAGCAGTTGTGCTGCTTAATGTTTTTTGGAAATTTTGATATTAAAATAGCATTTATTTGAAATGGAAACATTTTGTAACAAATGTATTTACTGTCATTTTTTATCAATTTAATGCAAAGCATAATTGCTGAATAATGGTATTCATTTCTTTAAAAAAATCTTACTGACCCTAAACTTTTGAACAGTAGTGTATATTATAAACTACCCTTCAGTCTCAAACCTGATGCCAAGTATGCTGCGAAAAAAAAAAAAAAAAAGTTAAAGCAGTGTATTAGATTCCATATTATGCAGAAGAACAGAGATACCTTTCCCATTTAAAACAGAACAATATTTCATGTCAATTCCTCTCTGTGTAACTACAGGTGACATCTAGTTAAAAATATTTTAAAAGCATTAACAGGCTCCATGACTTGTCATTGCCATCAAACAGAGATGAAACTACTCACCGTCCAGTGGGTGACGAAGAACTCTTGATGTAATTTCAAGAAACTTTCTAGCTGCTTTATGAAGCTCCTTCCTGGTCTTGATAGCGAGGCCTGAAAAAGGAATATTGTCTGTTGAGGGCAATTAATAAATTCCAACAGGTAAATCAACTGTTATACAGGAATGGCCTGTTTTAATGTCTAGTTGTACAAAATATAGAACAATACATTTATAATACAACAATACAATATATTTTGAACAATACAAAATATAGAACAATACATTTACTATCAAAAAAATGTAATCTAATTGGAGACTATGATGCCCCTCCAAAAACTTAATTTATGTACTGTACTGTACTTTGTCTGTCAAGCCAAAGAACTCTTGAAGCAAAAATACTGGTCTGTTGTGTTGACTACTATTTTGAAAAGAAAGCCTGAATTGTTGTGTAATGACATAATGTGTGTGAGAACGGAGGTGGAGGAGTAAAAAAAAAGAGGGATAAAGTTCGCTACTCGGGTCTCGGGTGCTTCATTGTTTTATAACTCCAGAAAAATACCACAAATTGTTTGTTCAAAGCGTCTCATTTTCATCACTAGCAAGTACTTTCTTCAGCAAATCAGGACCAATGAGGCACATTCGTTTGCAGTAGTGGTGTAGTATTTCCTCATTTGCAAGTTGCTTTTGAGGAGTAAATGTAAATGTAAATGCAAATTAATCTTTCAGCTCACTGATATTTACACACTCTCTCAAGCACAAAAACACACAAGCGTGAAAACTGAATGTACCAGAAGCAAGGCTCTCTTGTTCCCTATTAGTGGCGTGAGTCAGGTAGATGTAGGACTTGTGCTTCTCCTGTAGTATTGCACTGGTGTCAATAGTGAGGGCCTGGTTGAGAGTAACCACCTCATATGTGATGAAAACACAGCCTCTGTGTAAGCAAACTTGATAAAGTCACAATGTGTTTCAGAGAGGGATAACAAATCTGGCTCAGAAGATATATTACTTTTAACATCTGCTTCCTCTGACATTCTCTGTAAAATTGTATGATATTATTTTATTGATGGATTGTCGAATACATGCACAAAATATTAAAATAAGAATCTACAAACCTACCCCAATACTATTGCTCCAGTCACTTTTGCTATTTTTCCTAGAGACAAGGAAGAGATGAAGACCAGCATTCAGTATTATTCAGTTAAGCATTCAGAATAAATCTGTCAAATTTATCAAAGCAATAAATAAAGCATGCAGGGACTATCATGCAGGACTGATAGGAATGTAGCAGCCACAAACAAAATGCATTTTTTTATGGGAAATATAGACTACCATTCAAAGATTTGGGGTCGTATTATTTTCTAAAATGTTTTTGTAATAAGTCTCTTATACTGAACTAAGCAGCATTTATTTGATCAAAATAACTGTCAAACAGTAATATTGGGAAATTGTATTACAAATTAAAATAACTATTTTCTATTTGAATATAAAAATTGTTGAATATAAAATGTCATTTTTTCCCGAAGGCAAAGTTGAATTGTCAGCAGTCATTGCTCCAGTCTTCGGTGTCACATGATCCTTCAGAAATTATTCTAATATGATAATTTGGTGATCAAGAAAGATTTTATTATTAACAATCTTAATGAATGGATCTTTAATGAATAAAGTTTCAAAGAACAGTGTTTATGTAAAATATAAATCTTTTGTGACACAGTGTAACAGCAATTGTAACATAAATGTCTTTACTGACATATTATGCCATAAACTTTTGAACGGTAGTGTAAATTATTTAACAACAAATAGTATTTGTTTATCTTTAGAAAAAATTGAAATAAGGGTTTTAAAATGTATGTAGAGATGTCCCAAAGTCACAAACAACACATTTAACAATATCAGGCCCTGTTTTATTTGGTAGGTATCTTGGAAAGTGCCAGATACATTAAGGCTGTGTCTCAAATTCAAGTGAGCTGCATTCCTAGACAACCTTCTTTTTATTTGGCATCATGAATGCAGTGAAGGTGGGCATGTCAGTAAGTTCAGGCTCTTACTAAGATCTCTCCATGGCAGTGCTCTCTTCACAGCAGGTGCAGTGCTGCTGCTCAACCTCCGGACGCGGATCAGTCGCAGGGCGGACACAGACATTAGCTTCCCTCGCAGATATCAGACGATTGCACACACCAATTCTTGGCCAGAGGGCCGGTGAGACATATATAGGCTACCAGCTGTTTATGATTGCTGGTGATCTTCTCACGTCGATTATAACCTGGATGCTAAAGGTTAAAGAAGAGGTGGTGGAGTCATGACATGCCAGAGGAGTCACTGTCAGTTGTTTTCATTCTCTCTGTTCAGTTTTGGAAACACTCAACACACTTCTTTAGTTATAGAGACTGCTGATATCAGGCTAACTGCTTACTAAACATATTACTTGGATGATAATTTGTCATTTGACGAGTTTAAATAACCAGTCGGGTTGTAAGTTACATGAAAAAAGTCGAATAGTTGGGAGGCATTCTAACGAAATTCATTGCGTGCGTGCGTACGTACAAAATGAAACTACGTGAAATGTGCAATTTACCTATAAAACTGAAGTTCCTTCCGATAAAGGCGGCATTGAAAAAAATCACGCTTGACAGCAAATGTAAACAGGAACTGTTTTCAAGACTGAACGCGCTTGACGTAGAGCGCCATTACCGTAAGTACCACAAAGTCAGTGTCTCGCGTCGAAAATTTCCTACCGTAATGCTTACTTCTATTGTTCAATGTTTTCACGCCTGCCTGGAATAGTCCTTCCTTGTCCAGAATGCGTTGCTAGAATATTGACGGTATGAAACTAACACCAAACAAAGGGAACCTATTGCAGTTGGCACAGTCAGTATGATATCAAATTTTTATTTGTTAGCATACATTTAAACCTGTTGAGACAATTCCTTCCTCTTGTCAGGGCTTCCGTGTATGGTCACTTAAAGGATGCCAGGTCACTTCCAGGATGTGTGTGCTCTAACCCTCTTGAAAACACCTTAACATTCGTCCTTGTTCTGTTCATTCATGTTTAACACTCTAAAACGGACACATTAAATGGATAGTTCACCCAAAAATAAAAATTCTGTTTTCATTTAGCCTATGTTGTTTCAAACCTGTAAGCCTTTCTTCCTTCTGTGGAACACAAAGATATTTTGAAGAACACCAGGGTTCAAACAACATTGGATTTTTTTTTTTATTTTTTTTTAATGTCCTCTTTTGTGTTTCACAGAAGAAAGTAAGTGATGGTCACATGAGGGTGGGTAAATCTTGACAGAAAGTTCATTTTTGGCTGACCTATCTCTTTTATGATAAGTGTATAATGCTTTCTATGAAGGCATTTGGTTCAGTTAAAACATGCAGATGTTTTAGACAAAAAGCTATTGCAAAATGCATTGTGTCTGTTTATTTTTACAAGTAGGCCTACAGTTGCAATGAGAAATATTTACAATGATTCCAAAAGACTAGAGTTCCCAGAAAACAAGCCAATAAATACACAATTTAATGAGTTTGTTGCAAAACTATTTTAAATTAGTGTTTGCAATAACTGTCTGTCTTGGAATTTGCAATAGAGATCAGAATAAAGGTCTCAGAGATTTGTCCTCATGCTTATTGCAACCTTCAACATTTCATGTTCTCTCTCTCTCTCTCTCTCTCTCTCTCTATCTCTATCTCTATCTCTATCTCTATCTCTATCTCTATCTCTCTCTCTCTCTCTCTCTCTCTCTCTCTCTCTCTCTCTCTCTCTCTCTCTCTCTCTCTCTCTCTCTCTCTCTCTCTCTCTCTCTCTCTGTTTTACACAAACATATACTGTAGACATTACAGTCTTTTGGCTTTTTTGAATCAACCTCTAGAAACAAAAAACTCATCTCACTCTCTCTTTCAAACACTTTCTGATATTTCCGATTGACTTTCCACACTTATGAACAAATAGAAATATGCACATATACACAAATGAACACATACAAGTTTTAAAAAACTGGCCATGTCAGTTTAAGTTCCATCAATATTGCTTTCAGTTGTCCAATATTCCAGTCCAAGTCTATATTAATGCATGTATATCTTCTCCCATAACTGTAGTATGTCCCCTTCCTTCACGTGGTCGTCTCCTGATAGGCTCGTATGATGCTCTCGTAGGCAGGTGGTGGAGTCTGGCCAGCATGGAAGCCCCTTAGATTGTTGTTGCCCCAGAAGGAATCCGGTCGGGTTCTGGCCCGGGGTGGGGTGACCATAGAACAGACAGTGCTGGTTGATCCAGCCGCCCCAGGGCTGGTAGTGAGAGTGGGGGTTCGTGGCAGGCTACCCTGGGCACCTTCCTCTGCCTCGCGAGCAATCTGGCTACACTGAAGAAGAGGATGAAAGGTAGAGGCCCGGAAGCTTGATTTGCGGCCCGGTGAGTCACCATAGTCTATCGGTGAGGACGAGGTTTGCCGATGGAAGGAGAAGGCAGCGCTGGCCAGACTGTTATTGCTGCGTCGGTCGAAGCCACTGCTGTGCCGACTGTAGCCTGGCCGAGAGCGTGGTGAGGATGAACGGGTGGTGGAGCGGGACTGGTGGATGGATACACGCGTGATGGTGGCTGATGCCTGTCGGCGAGACATCCAGGTCAAGATCATATAGACCACAGCTCCCAGCAGAAGACCAACAACCATAGAAAGACAGAAGGCCAAAATCACATCCCCTGGAGAAAGGTAAAAAGAAAAAAACAAGTTTGTGACAGTTTGAGTCAACACTAGTTGCCAATAGTCTGAGCCGGTCTGCAGGTTTTGGGCAGTCGGAGTTGACAGATTTCACAGAAAATCATGCAGTGTGTGATGGGCACAGACTTTTTTTAACTTCACATGATTCCATTCAGTCAGAGGATATCAGACATGTTTGATACTTTAAGCCGATTTTAAAACACATACGCTGTGTCGGAAAATATGCCTACTTCCACATTATATAGTAAGTGAAAAATCAGCATGTGAGCTGAGTAGTATGTTCGAATTCATAAAACGGTAGGCGAAAAATTACCTGGATGACCTACTAGTTCTGGCAAGATTCTGAAGCGCACATTTAATGGATACGGAAGAGGATTTATGAATGGGAGTGAAGCGACGCAATTGATGCCGTGGGTCACATGACAACATGGCGGATGTAATAGGCTACCTCCAAACACATTCATACTATATAGAACATACTTTTTTTAATGGTCATGAAGTAAGGATGCATCTCAAATGGAGGGCTGCGTCGTTCCTTGACCAGTCCTTCTGAAGCTTCTAGGGCGGCTATCCTCCTACTCATCAGCATTGAACGCTAGATTGAGATGGTCTATTAAGTCCGCATGGCTACATCACAAATTTAGTTCTGCCCCCACAATCACGGCACGAAAATACTATTAAAACTTAATTTTGGAAACATACTTTGTATTAAAAATCATTATATTTACTGGCTTTTTGTTAATACAATACAGCGAGGGCTTACATTATTGGCAGTTTAGTGTTAAGTGATTCATTTCCATAATTTGGGACAAGTGTTGCAAATTAGCTTTAGCTACAAGCACTATGATACATGCATTGGATGGCTGTTTTCACATTTTTATCTACGTTTATTGTTTCTGTCCCTATACAAATAAAACATTAAATTTACACCAAAACAAAATATAACATCTATGCAAAACAGTGTTTTGTCTTACATTTCATAATGAACTCAGACAAGCTCTGCGCCGACTCGTTTTCCGTCAGTTATTTTTGTGAATTGGAATGTGTGCAAATGATTCTGTGCGTGATTGAAGGATATGAAGGATGCACTTGATGCGTCCTTCAAAATGAGCTGAATAATTCATTATTCATTGAATAATTCGCTTATTGTTTCTTTTCCTTGATGGAAATGTCGCTGAGGATTGGGCCAAATTCAACAATAGAAGGCACACCCAATGTTTTCTTATCCTTTGCAGCTAAAGTGAATTAAATAGTTTGTATTTTAGGAAGCTTCCTGTTATGGCATTCCATTGTCTAGAGAAATACCAATTTCATTAGCACACAGGACTTTTATCTGGTACAGGTCCTTTTGAAACTGACAACACTTTTGAGCAATTGGGTTAAAAAGCATAGGATAGGACCCATGTGTTCTTCTAGTGTTATATTTCAATGAAACAGACAAATTATAGCCATTTTTTAACCACAGCACATAACAATTCTATGTATTATTATAAGAAAACGACATCAAAAACTCTTTAGAGACTTGTGTTTAAAATAAAATGGATATTTAAATGCAATTTTCTCCATGGGTGAAAGGAATCACAGTCCAGAGTGAAGGATCATCTGGAAATGACATTTGGAGAGACCGAATGGAAAAAAACTGCACATTGGCGGTGTTGTTTTTTATGGACTGTTTTTGCCAATATCTTTTACTGCTAGTTACTACTGTCTGCATTTCTGTTGAAAAATTAGTTCTCCTAAAAGACTCGACACAGCATTTTCTACACTCTCCAGATTTTTTAAAGAAGTACAAAGTTGACAATGTAACATTGTAAGTTCATTTCCATGTATGTGAAAGAGAACCCTATATCAAGTGTGTAAAGATGGCAAAGTATCTTACTCAGTTCGAAGGACTCCAGTATGTCCACAATGGGATGAGTGCTGTTATCCGCCATAGCTCCCTCCAGAGATACAGGGGAGACGAGAGGGGATACAGTCTCTCCCCTCCAATTCTTCCTCTCACTCTTCGTTTTAACTTTTTCTTGTGTCTCTCTCTGTGTCTATCCAACTCCCCAGTTCTAGGGACCCTCCTCTCTCTCTTTCTCTCTGTCTGCGTCTCTTTTTCAGCCCCAGACTGCTCAGCACTGTGGTACACAGGATCCTCTCCAAGGCCAGGGTCGCTACTCTGTTTGTGGAAAAGTAAAGTCTTCACTTCACATTTCCTGCCTTTCCTGCTTAAAATTAGCAGCAGGCTGTCCTTATCTCCGCAGACCAGGGTTCCTGTGGGATGGAGAGGAAAGGGAGGAGTGTACAGAGAGGAGGAGAATCAAGGTGTGTGTGAAATCCATTTCTCCTCCTGTCATTTGTCATCTTTCCCTTGGCCAAAATTTATCATATTTTACTCTTCCCTATTTTCCTTTCTCTTCCAGTCACTTGGCATGAACAATGACGTATACAATGAACAATACCATTGTGTCACCATGATGGCACTTTGCCAGTTTGCGGTTTAAATCTATTTTAAAATGTAATTTATGTGATTGTAAAGCTTTCTTTACTGTCACTTGTTTTTTAAATTAATATAATTGATCTTTGATGAATAGAAGTATACATTTACTTCACAGTACTGACCCAAAATTAAATGGTTGTGTGTATACAGTAAAAAAATAGCATGAAAAATATGATTTAATTTAATATTTTTATTTTATTTTTAATATGGCCATTCAAATTATTAGAGTAGAGGGATGTGGACACATTCGTTAATGTTTACAATGTCTTTTCCACAAATAACCAATGTAAAAATTAACATAGAAATGGCAGCTGACAAAAGCACAGTATAAAATCAAAACCAAACAGATGAAACCCTAGCATTTTTCGATGTATTTCATAACAAAAGATCTCATAACACCATTCTCAAGATTTTTTAGCTTTAACTGTTCCACTCTTCCACTTGTAGTCTTGCTGGTCATCACAACGCTTCAGATTTTCCATGTAGAGTGCCAACTTTGTGCTGGGTTATCCTGGCGAGGCTAGCTTTTGTAAAAACAAAACCCTGATAAGATCCCTGCAGAGAAAGCAGGATTTTGCCCTGAAGCAGACCACTTTCACCTCAGTGTGCTTTCCTTTCGTAGTGTTCATTAAGGGTATCTGGAGGTTAGTGATTAAGAACAGTAGATAGCATGGGGTTTTAGGACAGAGCCGCTGGCCTGGGAGGAACGGGACAGGCCCTATACTGACATTTCCTCTCATTGTTGCTTTGGAGTGCAGATATCAGCGATTGCCTTACAGTTCTGAAGTATACATTACACTTCATTTTCAGCCTCTTACGTGTTTTTGCATTAAAAAGCCCACAAGAACATGGCCAATTCATGTTTGTGACCTCTTGGCCATAATTTATGAGAGAGAGTTTATTTATTTATTTTTGTAATTGAAGACATTCATTATATAACCTGAAATAAGACAAAAAACAAAAAGACATTTAGAAATATTTATAAAATAAAAATTATTGTAAGGCTTTCACTGAAGTCACAAGTAATATATCAGAAATAAAAGCCAAACTTCTTATTTCATCCTAAAAATAGTCTACATAACACATGGACCATGAACATCTTTTTGTAAAACTATTTATATTGTTCTACAATATCTGTGTTTTTTTTTGCACATTGTATAATACATTTGATTGTTTTTTTTCTCTCACTAAATTATGTTTAGTATTGTATTAAATAAATGTATTAATAAATAAAATAAATGTTATCGTAAGGCTTTGGCTGAAGTCATTCTAATTTATCAGAAATGAAAGCCAAACTTGTTATTCCATCCTTAACAGTCTATAGAATACATGAATCATGAAAATCTTTTTTTGTGGTATAATAGTTGCAAAAATCTTTCTTTTCATGTTATATAATATAATATATTTCATCAGATTTTTTCCTGTATATTTTGCTTGGCATCTTATTGTGTTATTTATTTGTATTATTTATGGCTGCTGTAACTCTATCCCATCCCGTCCTGTCCTATCCTATCCTGTCCTATACTATCCTCCTATCCTATCCTATCCTGTCCTGTCCTATCCTGTCCTATCCTATCCTATCCTGTCCTGTCCTGTCCTATCCTGTCCTATCCTATCCTATCCTGTCCTGTCCTGTCCTATCCTATCCTATCCTATCCTATCCCTACCCTGTCCTGTCCTGTCCTGTCCTGTCCTGTCCTATCCTGTCCTATCCTACCCTGTCCTGTCCTGTCCTGTCCTATCCTACCCTATCCTGTCCTGTCCTATCCTATCCTATCCTATCCTGTCCTATCCTATCCTATCCTATCCTATCCTATCCTATCCTATCCTATCCTATCCTATCCTATCCTATCCTGTCCTGTCCTGTCCTATCCTACCCTGTCCTGTCCTGTCCTGTCCTACCCTATCCTATCCTATCCTGTCCTGTCCTGTCCTGTCCTGTCCTATCCTATCCTACCCTATCCCTACCCTATCCCTTCCTATCCTGTCTATCCTGTCCTATAATATCAGTCTTCTCTTGGTGGACAGCAGATGGCTCTGTTACTCTTTAGAGAACATGTTGCAGCTAATCATCATTCCAGGCTGAACTCTGATTTTTTATCTGATTTGCATTTCAAATAATTCCCTGGACATCACCATTCTTGATCTTGTTTGCTAATTAGTTTGTTTATTTGCTCGACAGTGTTAAACTCTCTTTCTTTGTATTCTATTTCTGGAAAACATTTGAAAACAATGTTGCACATATGTGGTTCTAAACAGTTTGTCACCTTATGGGCTCTTCAGAATGATGGAGGATACAGAGGCTTCATGGAGAAGGTAAGTGAATGTGAATGGCATAAGATCGTCTGCGCACAAGGACTTACAGTATGGCAGTAACTTCTTTGCTGTGCTCTCTCTCTCTCTCTCTCTCTCTCTCTCTCTCTCTCTCTCTCACACATCCATCTGCAGTGACCGTGTAGAGGTCATTGCTAAGCACTGCTGTTTGAAAACCAGCAGACTCAGCAGAGCGGTCTCTGAATCCTGAGCTTAACGCTCCAGTCAGGCATTTCACTTTGCTTTTTTCCTATAACACGCGTGCGTGTGTGATTGAACTGGTAATGGAATTGAAAAGCATAACAGTGTGTCTCTGGTACACATGGGAGTTTTTTCCCGCCCCTCTCGAATTTCACTTAATGGAGTCACATGCTTGAGATATGCCATATTCCAGCATCTTTTTTCATTTTCCGTGAGCAGAAGCTCAGACATGTAACATTTTAATCGAAACACTTAGTGTAATGTTGTCTGGCATTGCTAAAGTAACACACAGGACTCGATTCGGGCCTCACTATTGGTCAACAGACTGCACTCGAGACCTGCACTCTGATTGGACAGCAGGTGGCAGTGAAAACTAATGCTGATGCCTACAGTAGAGTCTGAGAGGCAGAAAGAGAGCGAGACTGCAAAGGGAAGAGGCTGCTTCCTGCAGAAAGCACAGAACTTCAAAGGGAGGAAAGAAACCGTATGTTTGCATGGCATGCACTGATTTAAAACATTTACGCTTTTCATATAGGGTAGATCCAGCTGATCCTAGATCATTGGAGAAGTCTCGGTTGGAGCTGCATCCGCTGCCCAGCATCAGCACCACTGACTTGGAATCAGTGGAATGGCATCTGCTCAGCGCTATGGCCGTTCAGACAGGGAGATTGCCAATGAGATGCAGAGGCTGCAGGGTAGGTGCTTACGCATGCTTTCTCTTAAAGGTGACCTCGCCACTGTGTAGGATGACACAGCATATATACGCAAGATGTCATGTCGACTTTTGAATAACTTGAATGTATTCTAACTTGAGTTGTGATGTTTTAGCATGTTTTGTTTGATGACTGCACCTATGATGTCTCTGCTAATGTTATTTGGCTATTTGAGTTCAGTACGTCTCTCTGCAGCTGTGTGTTGTGAGACGTGTGATCCAATTCCCAGGATCGTCACAGCCACATGCAAAGTTTACGGTTGGTTTACAATTGATGCTTTGCGGTGCTTATGACGTCTCCAGTTACAAAATCATCCTTGGGGAGAATTTCTGTCCTGGCACTTGAGGAGAGTTTGTTTGTGTTCATGAGGATACACATTCAGTTACACAATCCCCTTTTTCATAAGTTTAAATGGTTTTAAAGTATGCTCTTTGAATTAAGCACTGAAAACTGGTGTAGAGTTGCTTTGGTCAGTTTCACATTGACCTGGATTGTATTGCTTGTGTGCCCTTCGTGTGGACCACTTTTAAGATTGAATCAGAGGCAGAGAAGAGAGAGTGAATGAATGGAGAAATGAGATTAGGGTGAAAGATTGCCCAGAGAGAGACAGCGGAATGAAAAAAGAGAGGGTTTAAGAGCAGAAGAGCTGACTCTGGATGTGTGTAGTTCTGCAATAAACAAGGTACAGTACAGTGTGTCACCTCTACAGTAAATTATGAAATGCTCTTTCTGCATTGCTCGTCTTCATAGAGTTAGGTAATACTATTTTTTTTTAAGTAATAGTTTATTACCCCCCCCCAAATATCATTGTTTACTCACCCTCATGTTGTTTAGAACCCATACAACTTTTTTTTTTCTGTGGAAAACACTAGGAGAAATTTTAGATGCAATTACAAATTTTACATGCAAGTACAATAAACAGGGACTGGAGATTTCAATAAAAAAAAAAAACACTATTTCTGTCAGGACCACCATCGTCAAATACGATTGACCATTAGCATATGATTTGGATTGGCGGTATGGTTGTTCTGGCCAAGAACTCCCAGCGCATCAATGCAGCCTAGCATGGATAAGAGCAGCAATACCCCCCCCTTAGGGTAAACAGAACCAACATTATTGCAGATAACATTAATTCAAGATTTTAAGTACAACATAATTCGAGAATTTATTCTGATTCAAAGGGCACTCATTAGGCTAAATACTGACTGCACGAGAGGAGGAGCTGGGGATGGAGGAGGGTCATTAGCTCCTGAGAAACGTGATCTGCTGATGATAATACTGAAGGAGCTTATATATGTAAACAGTGATAGGCGTCATATATAGGTAGACGTGGATCAGCTGAGAGTCAGCTGATGCGAGCTTGACTAACGTGACCTGCCAGAACTT